ATAGGTACAGTATGTATGTACCTGTCCATGTCACTGGGAAACGGGCCTGCCCTGCAGTCGCTGCAGGGTAGCCACGCCTCAGCAGGAGGCGACTGGAAAAGGTTCCCGCATTGTTCTACTTACTCTCATTCTCAGTGAGCCATTATAGACTGGCGTTTCGCCATTGCCATTCGTGTTTTTTAAGGGGCCCTGCGCATGTACCACCTGACATGGCAGTCTCAGTCGCACGATGATCCGATCACCTTGAATAATCCTCAACATATTCCCCTCCTATTTCCGTGTTGTTTCTGGAAATCGCAGGGTAATCCCCCACCTGCCAGAAGAACGGAAAGACGAGGGATTGCACTAGAGATGAGTATTTTTGGCCAATCCAGCCCGTGATGGTCCCCGATTTCGATCATGACCAGGTTGATGGTCATGCATAAGCCTACATATGCAGGCTCCCTCTCCTGTGCCCCGCAGACGTACCCCTCAGTAAATCCTCTTCTTGGAAGCGTGCCAGCCCTGCCCTTGTCCAAGGCGTGACTACGAAAGTCAAATCGATGGTTCGCTTTCTCTTGTTCCAATCTCATCGCCCAGTCACATCTTCCCTAATACTAAGCACATACTTCTAGTCAGTACGGGTATCACCTTTCCTAGGTAGTGACTTCTGGCTGGTGGGATTTCAGTCGTGCTAACCATGTGAAAACAAGGCAGGTCTACGGCTTGAATACATGCCGGTTCCTTTCCTTTCCCCTCTTTCGCTCTTGCTCTTGATTGATCAGACGGGTTTAAGTCCCTCCGTGGCCTTAAGGTCGAGCACGCCTAATTCGATAGACACCTTCCGGTCACGTTTCGAGGGATACGTAATCCCAAGTAGATGTAAAGGAGAACATTTGGACTTTAGTTTCCTTATAGCATAAGTAATCGTTCAATTTCCACACTACAGGCACTAGTTTGATGAGCTGGATAAAAATGGTGGCTAAAGGCGATTGTCAAATTTGAACAATATATCTTATTCTCTAAGAGTGCTAGGGAGACCAACAAAAAATAATCATTATATCGTTGTTATCAAGTAAAATGTGTTCAACATCTGGTTATCAAAAAGAAAATTCAGATTGTACGAGAACTACAACATGTACATGTCAAGATGTATGTAGGGGGAGGGGCCATTTGTGCAAGAGCCAGACTGTGTTTATACCCAAGTAGTACTCTGCCTTATGAGTACAACCAAATATAGAAGCAAACCTTGCATAACGTCGTTCGGATGCAGGCCTGACATCGAGGTAAACAGAACAGCGAACCCAAGGAACTCTCGAGCAGACATCATAACTACTTGTCAGTATCTGCTGTACTGCATCATTGTGAGATGGTCGCTCATATAGAGAATTCTAGTCTCGATCGTTCCTTACTTCGTGAGATCAAAATCTCATGGGTTGTCATGATGACGTTAGAGGGCTCCTTGCCGAAGGTCGCTGGCGATCTAGGATAAAATTCGACCCCATTACATCGAATAGCAACGTTGGCGTGGTTGCAAAACACCGTGCGCATGTCTGTCACAATGAATGCTTCTGCTCCGTTTGACATCTGCTTCCACCAAAGCCTCGGACCAAAGGACCTTGCATTATGCCGAATGACAGATAGCAGCGGGCTTATGTTTGGATGTGATCTCTTCTGCAAGCTGGGATGCAATTTGGAATCTGGTTCGGCCTGGTTTTCTACGAGGTTCTCAGGGTATAGTCTAGACCACTCGTGATGATGCATGCTGGGGTGAAATTTGTGTGCCTGATAAAGTCATAGAACTATCACGACTGGAGCTTGTCGCGAATTTGCAACGACGAAAGTATATTGGAGTAGAAGCCCGGTTTATTGGGATTACGGAGTATGTACATTGGCTCCGCAAGAAAAACCAACGTCGAGAATTCGTTCGGTTCGTAGAGCATGTCTATCCAGCCAGCATTATACGAATAGGCAGATAGTTTTGACATGTCAATAATATCTGGTCTGAGCCTCACAATAATACAAAGCAATGCATCGTGGCATTCGAAACAAGATGGTTCGCAAGGGGTTGACCGTAGGCGTCATGGTCCCGAAGAAGTCTTGAACGGGCAAAATGACAACCAAGGCACACGCATGTCTAGTTGGGGGGAGGCTTGATATGCGGTGTAAGGGATGGGAGATGAATCTGTGGGATTAAGTTTATGATTAACTCACACGGGCGCATTAGTTATTCACTCATCGAAGCTTGAGGATGGATGGCGGAGTATCTCTAGTACCTCTCGGTAGGGATGAAACTAACAAACCATTGAATCAATTATTTGAATCAAGGGTGAAAATATTTAGTGGAGGGGCAGCCAACTGACTGAGGCCTAACCATTCGTCTGGACTAAATTTTGGTACACGGTAGTAGTAAGTGGAACGACCATCGCTGCTCACAGCTGCTACTCCGTACTCAGTGTACATTTCCCGGATTCTCCAATTCTCTAATTGAATTTATTCAATTTGCACGGGCGGGATCAGCTGTTTATTTGTGAGGGAAATTATTGTGCTCGCGGAGTGGGAGAGATATATTTTGACGCCGCTCTTCCTCCACCCCACATCTTGATAATGCGACCTCCCCCCCCCCCCCCCGGTTATTTGATTCATCTGTGACCTGTAACCAGACATGTAAAATCTGGAGGCCGTTGGAATGGAGGATTAAGCTTCAATGCGGAGGACGATCGAAGGGAAAATCGGGGGGAGGCTTGCCGCAGAAGGAATCTCAAGTGCCCAGATATACAGAGAAAGGGCGTAATCGGAATACCCGGACCATGATATCACATCCGATTATCTCGGTGGGTAGATCGATTTGGCGACCTGATAATGACATGGCTCGCACCATCATTATCAGACACGTGGAATTGATGAGGGGTTACTGTGTACTCTGGTAGATACCAATAATCTAGCCGCTACGAGGTCATGCCCAGCGACATCATGGAAGGGCATTGAGAGACGTAGAAACCACCTACTCCGTAGCAACTCGGATCTCGAAAATTCTAGAAGTATAAATAAGATGGACAGGTGCCTGATCGGGTGTCTGTGTGTGTGTGGTTAAGAGTTTTTTGCCACCATTGCACTCCCGAAATTGGCACCACTTGAAATATGGAGCACATGACAACATACTTCGGTCCAGGGACGTTGATTTCTAATTTCTACCCAAGAGATTGGACCGTGTATCAGGAGACGATAATGTGGCGAGATGCGCGTTGCAATCATAGACGGAGGACGCGGACAGTGCGATACGCTGAAGATAGTAAAATAGTATACGGGGACAAGAATAATAAATGAGCACATGTAAGGGACGCGACTGGGCTGATCCGAAGTCCCCGCGTTGTTTTGCTTATCATTATCGATAGGGGGAAACGCCGGTGGGTAGCGGAACCTTGTCTGTACTGGGGAGGGGAGGGTCTCGGGTACCGAGATTAACCTGTTTTTGCCGTTGGGTCGGGGTACCGGATCTGGGCAGCGTGACAGAGTTGCGGCAAGTGGTTCTTGACGGGGACAATTTGGTCCATTTTGAATGTGCCGTTTATTCCCCTCCCAGCGAAGGAATGAATTGATCAGAGATGGACATACTCTGTAGCATGATAGTATCAGTCCTGTTGTACTCCGTACTGTGTACTGTGTACACAGTATGTCATCGTATGAATCGCGCGGGAACCCTTGGGGCTACGCGTGACTCTCCCGGAGCTAAGCCCAAACGGGACTGCGTCAACAACAAAAGACGCGCTGCGCGTGCGAGGCAGAAAAACATCGAGTCCCGCCTGAGGATTGGCTGGAAGGCGACGGAGGCGAACGATGCCAGATGGAACTAACTGGGCCTTAATCTCTTTTTTTTTTTTGGCCTTTGCTTTTTTCCCTTTTCCTCTTGAATTGCTCGTCTGCTCTTTCCAGCTTCACCCCGTCAATCTAACTGCTGTGAGCAGATCCCGTTTTCGCCGAATTCAGTCCGTTTAAATCGATCCATTTCAGAAATAGAACCGCGCACCGTCTTCCTCCACATAACCCCCCCCCCCCCCCCTCCCTCCTCCCGCAAGGGAATTTCCTCGGGCCATTTATTGACTGAGGGCGGCTGCATACCGCAACTTCATCAGCCCCCCTCTTCGTCCATCTCATCCCTTCCTTCGTCTCGCCTTCGCTCTCCTTCGCTCTCCTTCGCGTGGCACTCGCTTTTGGAGGGACTCGACCACTTTCACCACCCCTTGCGCAATCGCTTTTCTGTCTATACGGTCATACAGGGTTTTTAAAGAAAGGGAGACGGAAGGGAGAACGAAAGCTGCTGCTGCTTCTCTTGCGATCAAATCAAATCGGCCCGCCTGCGTCTGTACGGATCCTATCTGCCTCTCGCGCATCGACCAGTGATTTTTATTTTATTTATTTTATTTTCTCGCGCAACCTTCGAATTCTCGTGTCAACCTCGTCGCGCGTATACTCGTTTCGTTCGCTCCTGCATCTTCGCGACGCGCCTGCTTGTTTTGACATTTTCGTGGTCACCCTGAAACATTCCTTGTCGAATCCCAAGCGCCGACGTATCTTTGTGTTTCAGGCGCGTGGCTCTGCCCTTGGTGCACGACGAGGACCGACCTCCCGGGAATCTCTACTCTCCCCCCTCCCCACCTCCTCTTACGCAGTCGCGCTGCGCGTACAGAGGGAATCAACGAAGTGGGTTGAGAGCTCGGCCAGCCTTCGAATAATCTGATGGGATGTGCATCATTCGCTTGTTTTGTATAGCCTGCTTGTTTTGTCTTGATACTGCCGTCGTGGCGCCTTACGTTCGCAGCATTCCGCAGCGGAATCGACTACCTTGCTACGACTTGCTTACGGGCTAAGACACGACAACAATCGCACCGCCACAACGGTCCCTGTTCGCCGTCTGTTCTGTTGTTGTCGACCTTCGTCGCGAGCGGAACTTGCACCTCGATTCGCTCGTCGACCTACCTAGATCGACCAGATTGCTCTTGATTGTAAACTAACAAGGCATCATGGTCGCGACCTTTTCACCTCACCGTGATGCGGGTGGTACCCTCCATCTACCATCCCACACGGGAATCCATCATGTTGATGCTAGTTCGGCCATTCGCCAGTTACGACGATCACTCTCGCGATCTCCTTCCAAGAGTTCCAACTTTTCATTTCTCACCTCCCGGAATCAATCTCCCTCCAAAACAACGCCCTACATCTCATCTCCTTTGTCGCCCTCCCGACGGTCCTCGCAAAACAACTTCGTCCTATTTCCCAGCTCCTCCCATCAATCCCCGTTTGCCGTGCCATACCCTCCCAGCGCCAAAATCACGCGGCCTGTGATGCGCCGTGTGCGGACCTCCCCGAGGAGTCCTGCCAAACGCGCCTTGAATATCTCCGCGGACCAGGGAAACACGAAACCTGCACAGTCGGTTCCAACGACGCCCGACGTGGAAAACTTCCCTTCAGCCCGGGGAGTGAGCGTTCAATCAGAGGATGATGAAACAAGCCCGAATGGTTGCTCGACTACCCCCGCCGGATTCCCGGAAACCTCCACTCTTTCGCCGCGTCCGCCATTGTCTCGTGTCGAGAAGCGACGGAGCGGGACCTTTGGCTCATATGCAACCGTCAGCCCCCTTAAGCGCAGTGACGGAATAATGAACCTTGATCGGGCCTCTCGTGGCAGTCCGTCGGCCAAGCGACGGAGCGTTCACACTGCCAACCTCTCTAACGAGTTCAGCATCTTCGACAGCGAGGACGCGCCTGCCACTGTTGATGAATCCGCAGGCGAATCGCTGACGGATGACGAGACACCCTCATTTCCTACTGCCACCCCATTTAGTCCCTTTGCCACTATCCCGAAACGCTCATCTTCTCTGCGACGCTCAACTCTCCAGCAACGCCAAAGCGATCGCTCTATTTTCTCTCGACCAAAAGCCATGGGCGAGTCCGAAGTCTCCGACGGCGGCTCTCCCTTGAGTCCTCGTCCGCGCCCGTCTCTGGATAACAACCTCTTTCAACCGAGTCGCGATAGCTTGTTCTCTCCCCGGCCTGCTCCAGCCAGCCCGTTATTCTCGTCAACAAACAATGCTCACGGACAAACGCGTCCGACTGCCCACCCGCTCTCACGGACAATTACACAATCATCATCAAGCTCGAGCTTGGTCGATGACTCACCTACCCATGAACCCGTCCACAAGGCCGATCGTCCGAGAGGGGTGTTCAACTTCTCCAAATCGCTCCCGGCGGGTGCCACCCGGCCAGGAGCCGTTCGTCCACTCACTCGGGAAGACTCGACGTCTTCCACCGATTCATTCGCTACCCCAGAGAACTATAAGCTTGTGAAGCCTCTACCGGCTGCCTTTATGTCCACGGGGTTAATTTCGAAAAAGAACCGCAATGCTGAAGACCCCCCAAACATGGGTTTCAGCAAAAACATGCCTGATACGCCGTGCAAACGGCCCATCAATCTTTTCCCCACCGGGCAGAAAGCGCAACCGGAGCTGTCCTTGGGAAGGTCAACGCTCGTTCGCCCATCGGACGCAACATCCCATTCCCCATCTAACCCTATGAGCACACGACCTAAGCTAGGACCGTTCGCACGGGGCATGGGTATCTTTGGAAACTCATTCAGTCGACCGGAGGCTTCGCGACGCGGTAGCTTTGTCAGTGTTGACGGTGATGAAGGGATGCAGTCGCAGTCTCCATCAGCCAGACATGATAGCCAACCCCTCAGCGAATACGATCTCCCACCTACACCCACCAAGCAAACCTTCTTCCCGTCACGCACTTACCCCCCGGCCACTTCGCAAATAGCTTCCCTCGAGAGACTTTCGGAGGCTATGGGGACGAATTCCAGCCCTCTGCATGATAGATTCCAACGTGGATCCCCACGCACACCCCAGGATCATATCTTTCCACCCGATCCGAGCGGCTTATCCATTTCGGCGCCCAACGAACAACATTCGGTCCAGACGGACTTTAATTCCTCGGAATTGCCGGCCACCCCGACTGGTCCGCGTGATTCATTGCTGCAGTCCGGCAAGAGGACTAGTTTGACCTTGAGCGGATACCATGCCCCGGACGTCGACCCGAGCTTGACTTCGCGCTTCGAAAAAGTGGAACTCAGCGGTACAGGGGAATTTTCCCAGGTTTACCGTGTGGCCGAGCCTCACGACCAAGGCGTCTCGTCGCTCTTCTCAAGCCAGCCGAAGTCTCCTAAGCCCGTGCTGGAGCAGGTGTGGGCGGTCAAGAAATCCAAACAGCCATATTCGGGGTTGAAGGACCGCGAGCGCCGCATTCGAGAAGTCGATGTGCTCAAATCCCTGACGAATTCTGATCACATCATTTCCTTCACGGATAGCTGGGAAGACAACGGTCATCTGTATATCCAAACTGAATTCTGCGAAGAGGGCAGCTTGGATGTATTCCTTGCCCAGGTTGGACTGAAGGCGAGATTGGATGATTTCAGGATCTGGAAGATTCTGCTCGAGCTATCTATAGTATGACCTGCCCCTTTCGTTTTGAATCTGTCGACTCTTACCTGGCAGCTATGCTAACCTGATGAATAGGGACTGAAATACATCCACGATATGGGATTTATCCATCTCGACCTCAAACCGGCCAACATCCTAATCACCTTCGAAGGAGTTTTGAAGATCGCCGATTTCGGTATGGCCACGCGATGGCCTGCCGACCACGGAATCGACGGCGAAGGCGACCGCGAATACATTGGCCCGGAGATCTTGATGGGCCGCTACGACAAGCCCGCGGACGTCTTCTCCTTGGGTCTGATCATGTTTGAGATCGCCGGGAACGTTGAACTCCCTGACAATGGCCTCTCGTGGCAGAAGCTTCGGAATGGTGACACGAGCGACGTTCCCAGTCTAACGTGGAGCTCGGAGACTGGCGTTTTCCGAGATCCGTCCGGCAACCCTGTGTCCGAAGAGCCGTCGTTTGAGGAACTGTGCGCCTCGGACTTCGGGGACGATACATTCGGCGACGACAGTTTCATCAGCAGATCCAGCGAGCGAAAAGCCGTACCCCTTGCTCGGTCCGGCGAACTGGTCGACCCTCCGAGCTTCATGGTTGATGCCAGCCATGAGCAAGCCCTGGACAGGATTGTGCGATGGATGATTTCTCCGCAGCCACTCGATCGGCCCACCGCAGATCAACTTTTGGAGACCTACGGCGTTCAATTTGTGGGACGTCGACGCCGTGCTGGAGCCACAGTGTACGAGGGCAACTGGGGCCCGGCCGACGAAATGCTCGCTGAGGACGCCGAGATGATCGACGTCTGATACCCTGGGCTTATCTGATACCATACTGATTGATGCATTTGGTTGGAGTTGGTGCTTTCCTTACAATAACAACATTTAATGATGGCGTTGAGACGACAATCTGGGATTTGAATAATTTACATGCCTCTGCTCAACCACGCAGCGGGCAACATGGATGCTTCTAATGTGCAATGGGGAACACCCACGTCATGTACCGCGGCAATAACGCGTTTTTGTTTCTGTTTCCTCCTTCAGCTCGGTTTATCACGCCTTCCGACCACTCTCTTGCACTGCCTGATGGCCGATGGTGCCCTTTTGGAGCCTGATGCACTTGAGTCTCACGTTCCTTACCCGAACCGGGATGAATTTTCCTTTGTTCTAACAACGATTGAGCGTTTGATGCTGCTTTTTTTTGCATGCGACTGTCCCCATGCCTTTGTATGATTTTGAAGGTTTTTCTTGCACTTGTCTGATGTAACAGCTTGTTTTTGTGTGTTTCTCCCAGTCTCTCTTTCTCTGGCCCTCGGCCTGCGAAGAGCCACTTTTTTCCTTTCTGTTATTTCTCGTGCACTTTGGGCGGCTTTAATGATGACTTTTAACCCTTTTCTACATTTGTATCTCCATCTGCTTGGCGGCTGAGAATTTCCCTTCTACCACTGTTATTAATCTTTTTCTCCTTGTTTTGTCCCTCTGTTTGATAGGTCTGATGGGACGGCATAGCTGATATGTGATCAAGCTGGCTTGAGAGCAGGTAATGCTTGTGATTTATACTCTTGAATGCAACCATTTCTGGGCGCAGAAACTGCGATAGATCAACCAGATCTGAATTTGGATGCCAATTGAATCTTCTGTAGGAACCGTATCATTATTGCAGTAGATGTTCTCGTACGTTGGACTTGGTGTACTTGACGATTATCAGGGCTGATGAATCATCATCGTTAGATCGCCGATTTCTTGGCGCCGCGGAGCTTCTTCGCAACGTTTGTGGCCGACCAGTGGGAAAGTCCGATCTCCTTCAACTCGCCATCTTCTCCCTATCCTCTGGCCACCATTCTAGATCTTTCTTGTTTAATCGCTTCCGATCCTTATATTTCTGGATAAATACTCATATTTTACGACTATGAGCTGCGTGTTTTGAGCGAAGTTCTCACGTGAAGAGCATTGCCTCGGAGAGACTACTTCTCTCGACTCTTAACCTCTTCTGCAGACCGGTAGAACAGAGGACCACCGACCTCGCGAATTGCTACAGTTACCGAGACCGATCATGGATAACCGCACCTTTGTATCGGATTCCCTGCTCCGCCTAACCAACGCGTCGGACCCTACCGTTGTTGATTTTGTCCTCGCCACCGCCGGCTCTGCGAAATCGGCGACGTCACTACAAGACAAACTCGTTCCCTTCTTGGAAGGCAGCTCCAATGACCTCGGTGCCTTCTGCAGCGAGCTCTACGGACGGGTCAACAAGAGCAGCGCCGGTGGCGGCAGTAGCAGCAGCAAGAATGGCGCCAGCGCCGGGCCCGCGAGCAGTGCGCGGGGAGGGGAAAAGAAGAGATACCGACTCCTAGAAATGGAAGACGAGGTACCAGAGTCCGCGGGCTCTCTGGGACCGCCGAACATCGAGACCGAACGCCAGCGACGGAGGCGCAGGGATAACAACATGGAACGGAGCCGGGGCAAGGACCGAGACAAGGAGGAGAGCCGGAAGCGCGAGCGGAGTCGCGAGGAAGGGGGTCGGGATCGGCCGCGGTCGAAGAAGCTGCGACGACGCGATGCGGACGATTTTGACGACCGCTGGGGCGACGAGGAGATTCCCGAGGAGGAGCTCTACGAGGAAGAGGAAGAACGGGGGGCCAGCGAGTTTACGGAATCGCCGGCGAAGCGCACGCGGTTGGAGGATGGGTCTGCGCGGTCGCGGTCGCCCTCGGCGGATCTGGACCCCGAAGCGAAGCGGGAGCTGGAGCGGAAGCGCGATCTGGAGGAACGAGACGAGTTCGCTAAGCGGTTGGCGAACAAGGACGATGGTAAGTCGAAGAAAATCGTCGAGGATCGGACCCGTGTGGGCGAGGCTGCTCGTAGACGGGCTCTGGCCGACGATTCGTCTGCTCGGGCGGCTGTCATGCCCGACCTCCGACTGCGCTCTCGTCAGGAGTACCTCAAGAAGCGTGAGACCGAGCGACTGGCTCTCCTGCGGAGGCAGGTCGCGGAAGAGGCCGCGGAGCTTCGCGAGAATCCGGACCTGACGCGCAAAGAGAAGGAAGAGTTTGCTCGAAACCGAGAGGTTCTTCGAATCGCAGAGGAACGACTCCGGATTGACGACCACCGCGATGGCTACATGATGCCGGAGGACTATATCACGGAGAAGGGGAAGATCGATCGGAAGAAGAAAGAAGACGCCCTTTACAAACGCTATGTTGACCGCGACGAATATGGACAGGAGCGATTCGTCACAGAACATGAAGAATGGGAGTTGGAGCAAACGGCCAAAGCCAAGGCCCAGATCAACCGGGCTGAATTTGTGGATGAGGGGGACTACGAGTACGTCTTCGACGACTCGCAAAAGATCAACTTCATTATGGACGCCAAAATGGAAGGCACACGGAAGCCTATGACCCAGGAGCAACGGGCGTTCCAAGAGCAGCTTGACGCCGCCGAGAAGAAGGCCGCATCAATGGAGGATACGCGGAAAAGCCTGCCGATCTACCAATTCCGGGACCAGATCATCCAGGCCGTTGAAGACCACCAGGTCCTCATTATCGTTGGTGAAACTGGATCTGGTAAGACCACCCAGATTCCCCAATACCTCCACGAGGCCGGCTACACCAAGAACGGTATGAAAGTTGGATGTACCCAGCCCCGACGAGTTGCAGCCATGAGTGTTGCTTCCCGAGTGGCAGACGAAATGGGAGTGAAGATCGGCAACGAGGTTGGATATGCCATTCGATTCGAAGATAACACGAGTGATAAGACAGTACTCAAGTACATGACAGACGGCATGTTGTTGCGTGAACTCTTGACGGAGCCCGATCTCAGCCAATACTCCGCACTGATGATCGACGAGGCGCACGAGCGGACGGTCCCTACAGATATTGCCTGTGGTCTTTTGAAGGATATCGCCAAGGCCCGGCCGGACCTGAAGTTGCTGATCTCCTCCGCGACTATGGACGCGCAAAAATTCCAACAGTACTTTGATAACGCGCCCATCTTCAACATTCCCGGCCGTCGATACCCGGTCGATATCCATTACACCTCGCAGCCCGAGGCCAACTATCTGGCTGCCGCGATCACCACGGTTTTCCAGATCCATATCACGCAGGGCCAGGGAGATATCCTCGTGTTCTTGACCGGACAGGAAGAAATCGAGGCGGCCGAACAAAGCTTACAGGAGACGGCACGGAAACTAGGAAGCAAAATACCTGAGATGATCATTTGTCCGATCTATGCCAATCTACCGTCTGAACTCCAGACGAAAATCTTCGAGCCCACGCCGCCGAAGGCTCGCAAGGTGGTTCTAGCTACTAATATTGCCGAAACTAGTTTGACGATCGATGGGATTGTCTACGTGATTGACCCAGGATTTGTCAAGGAGAACGTTTTCAACCCACGGACCGGAATGGAGAGTCTGGTGGTGACGCCGTGTTCGCGGGCATCTGCCAACCAACGGGCCGGACGAGCCGGTCGAGTAGGGCCAGGTAAATGCTTCCGCCTGTACACCAAGTGGGCCTATCACAACGAGTTGGAGGAGAGTACGACGCCGGAGATCCAGCGGACGAACCTGAACAGTGTGATTCTCATGCTGAAGTCGCTGGGGATCGACCAGCTCCTCGAATTCGACTTCATGGACCCTCCACCAGCCGAGACGATCATTCGCGCATTGGAACAGCTGTACGCGCTGGGCGCGCTGAATGACCGGGGTGAATTGACCAAAATCGGCCGACAGATGGCCGAGTTCCCGACGGACCCTATGCTTGCCAAAGCCATCCTGGCAGCGGACAAGTATGGCTGCGTGGAGGAGGTGCTTTCCATCGTGTCGATGCTGGGCGAAGGAAGCGCGCTCTTCTTCCGGCCGAAAGACAAGAAGATCCACGCGGACAGCGCCCGCAATCGATTCACCATTAAGGACGGCGGCGACCATCTGACGCTACTCAACGTTTGGAACCAGTGGGTGGACTCGGACTTCAGCTTCATCTGGGCCAAGGATAACTTCCTGCAGCAGCGCAGTTTGACGCGGGCGCGCGACGTGCGCGACCAATTGGCGAAGCTTTGCGACCGAGTCGAGGTGAACGTCAGCTCGTGCGGGTCGACCAACCTGATTCCAATCCAGAAGGCCATCACGGCAGGATTCTTCCCGAATGCGGCGCGACTCCAACGCGGAGGGGACAGCTACCGGACGGTGAAGAACGGGCAGTCGGTGTACCTGCACCCGTCCAGCACACTATTCGAGGTGAACCCGCGGTGGGTGATCTACTTCGAGTTGGTCTTGACGAGCAAGGAGTACATGCGAAGCAACATGCCGCTTCAAGCAGAATGGCTGGTGGAAGTGGCGCCGCATTATTACAAGAAGAAGGATCTGGAGTCGTTAGGACTGGAGAAGAAGATGAAGGGTACGGGGGCAGCGGGGGAGAAGAGTCGCGATTAAGCAAGGTCCTGTACAGGAGGAACTGGTTCATCATTAGAGAAATGTATTCGGTTAGCATTTTGAAACACCATCATTCTCCACCGTAGGTAGATGAAGCAATAGGGATCCATAGCATAATCCGGTACAAAGACCACCCGAGTACCTCTGGAACTCCAATCGGAAGGACGGTATTGCAATCGACCGCGGCTCCGACGGGCGGGCATTTTAACCTCGGTTCATCCCTCTCCACTTTGGCCTGTCGACCCCGGATCAACTTATTCCTCCTCCTCTTTCTCTTTCCCCATATTAACCACCGCCACCACCTTGAAACCGCCATTTTGTCAGAGAAACAAAGAACTCGACTCGAACACACAAACCAAAATGTCCCAATCCTTCACCCCCGCCGACGTGGCCGCCCACAACAACGCCGACAAGGGCCTTTACATCATCATCGACAGCAACGTCTACGACGTGACCGCCTTCGTCGACGAGCATCCCGGCGGCGCGAAGATCCTGAAGCGCGTCGCTGGTAAGGACGCTTCGAAGCAGTTTTGGAAGGTTTGTCCCTCCCTCCCCCTCTCCTCTTTCCCTCTACTCCCCGCGTGCCTGCCCACCGGCCTGCCCACCGGCCTACCCAGTTACCTATCTACCCCTCGAAACTTCCATTCTCTCTCCCCCCGGGTCGAAGTGAATCGAATTGAGTTGCTAACTGTGTTTCTATCTGCAGTACCACAATGAAGGCGTCCTCAAGAAATATACACCCAAGTTGAAGATCGGTGAGGTGAAGGATGCGGCGAAGTTGTGATCGGCCTTCTTCCTGACCTCTCACCTTCTTTCCTTTTTCCCATGACCTCTTGACTTGCTTCGTGGTTATCGCTGTAGCTTGATTCCGGATGGTAGGCTATGAATTTTGCGAATACGACCGAAGAAGCGCAAAAATGGGGGTTGATCTCCGCCTGGATTCGTGTTCGCTTTCTCTAGATGATCGGAGGGGGAACCTATTCGACTGTTTGATTATAGATGTTTGATGTTGATGTTTTATTTACTGGATATCACATGATACCTATACCTATGCGAGCGATCTTGACATACATTCTATACTTTAGAAAGTAAATATATCATACTCTATTTTTACTTTTACAAGTCAATGAAGGATCTCCAAGAATGTGACGGTGTCTTATTGTTATGTGAAATTTCTTTGAAACCGAAAGTTGAAGATCAAAACCGGAATGGTGGTATAAAAGAAAGACCAAGGTGATATCTTCCGCAAGAAACAAATGGTATCATATCGATGAACTGGACTATCAAGCAAAAAAGGCAAGATAGATGATAAAGCAGACTCCTTTCCCACATGCAAAGAACAACATGGTTAAATACAGAGAGGGTCAAATATACAGACAGTATGTCGCTAAGCGATGACGACGGAATGACTTTTTTTCAATCAGAAGGGGAGAGAAAAGGAAGAGCCGGAGAGGGGGAAGGAGGAAAGCGGAGGCTAGAGTAGAGGGCTAGAATCCCCGAAAAGGATCGTCATGGCGAAAATGCTCGGAATCGTCATAAGGAGAATAGTCGGGTTCACGAAATCCTGGGTTTTGCGGCGCACCCCACGGGCTCGAAACCTTCCGGCCATGTCGAGCGCGCGTGGGACGGAATCGACTGGCGTCTGCCTGGTCAATGAAGGCCTCCATGCGCACCGTCCCAATCGCATCGAAGAAATTACCCGTACCCGTACCCGTTCGGACACTGGTTTCCGAGGTTCGGCGGCTGAAGCTGCTACAACCGCTGTTGATCGTAGTCGCCGCGCCGTACGATTGCGGCCCGTGCGTGTCGGAGGATCCTCGCGTGCTGGGGTTCGAGGGCATCGTCCCCTGGCTGGAAAAGCTGCGAATCGCTGAGATCGCTGGCATCCGAGGGGTCGTGTTGCTTCGCTTGCGCGCGTGGTTGGAGAATCGAGGTACCGTGGGTGGATCGGCTGCGTCCATCGAGTTGGTCGATTCTCGGCCCGCAGGAAGTTCGGGGACGGGCTCCGGCTGATTCAACGATCGCTTACTCTTAGGGCCGGGTCGAGGTCGGCCTTTGGCGATGCGGATCGAGTCGCGGATCGGGTTTCGGCGCAACGAGGCTGGCTGGGCAGGCGGCGTGAACTCTTCCTGTGGAGCAAGGGGCAGGGAAGAGAGGTCGTGGAGACCCATGGCGGAGTGGCTCAAGAACGACAGTGCAGAAAGCCAAACATAATGGCGTTCGATGCTCGAGGCTGTAAACTTGAGCGCCCGCTGGGGCGTCAAGATGAGGATGGAACGATTGAATTGGCTGTGTGGGTTGGCGCCTTTCGGTAGGGGGTTGTCATCCTTGACGTCGAGCACGGATTGAATCAACACTGTTCGTTGTGTTAGCAATCTTATTTCTCAGAAACCTCTCTCAAGATATCTGCGATACGTACACTTCCTGCCACTCTTGCCCAGAAGGGCAGGCCCACTCGTCGGCTGCTTGCTGCTCCACATGACGGCTCGCTCGTAGGGAGCCAGCCAGACCCATCGTTTGTGTCGGACTCCACTGTTGGTAATGTTGGCCGACACCTCCTCGGCATTCCGGCCTTCCCAGTTGTCTTTGGATTCACCCACGCCGCCAAACGAACGTCGCCGACGGATGTACTTGAACATCCATTCTCCAACCATAGTCTGTGCGATCGCATCGACGACGCTCGTCGGCTGAACCGACGTGGCCGTTGAATCTTGTCGCTCATGGAGCAGTCCGCGGGATGGGGTCGCACGATGATGAGTCGATCGCCGTTGGCTGGATCGTCGATCCCGAAGCATGGTAATTTCATCGAACGGAAGAGGCGGGTAAGCCTGGTGAGGACTTTCCTGCCCAAAGGAAGAGCCCGACATGGGGGACGAAAGACTTCCCGGTCGGTCATGTTCGGTGTGCGACATTGCAGCGGCCGACCGGACCCGTCGCAGAGTGGGACGTCGTACAATGGACGGGCGCGACCGATCAGAGAAATTCCGGGGAGGGTTGGAAGGAGTCGGACTCTGATGCCCCTCACTCCCGTTGACTGGGAATTTCCTGGAACTGAGACGGACTGGCACCGGGAACGGAGGAGCAATGCTCGAGGCTCCGCTGGCACTTCCGCTGTCGATGCTCGGCTCGCTGGGACTCCGAGATCGTATCTTTTGATGAGCTGCTGCTCCGCTAGAGATCATCGCAGCTCGCCGGATATCCTGCTGGCGTGTTGTCGAAGGCGTCACCATTCCGGATCGTGGGCCGGATTGCGAGGACGGCATGAAATCCACGTCCTTTGCGGTGTCCCGACGAGCATCCAGGTCGATTAGATGTTCATCGACCTCGCGCACACTTTCGTCCACGCTCGGGCGGTCTTGCGTCGAAACCAGCTTGCCCCGTTTCAATTTGTACGCAGCAAACGGCCGGTTGAGAAAGGCATCGTCGGTGAAGATATCCTTGGACTCTTCGGATGGCTCCTCCTCATCGCTCTGCGGCTCAAACCCGGCGAAGAGACTACTCGATCGGAAAGGCCGCCTGATATCCGTCTTCGATTCCTCGGACAGAGGCCCATTGTCGTTATTCCCAGGATAGGCCTGGCTATGGCTCGAGAACTTGGTTTCCGAGACGGCCTTCGCTGGCTTCTCGTCAACAGAGGACCTCGGTTTTCGTTCACCATTAGTAGGCCTTGGAGGCGGTGCTCGATACGGTTGAACTGGAACATCCTGAGTGTTCATGTTAAGCGGCAGGTCTGGGATAGCGGACGGGAGTAAGCTGGCTGGCAACTTGACGGCTCGTTGATCAATCCGAATCTCTTCGGTCTGGATGCCAACCGTTTGGGTTTCCACGGCGGGACGGAGATCAACTTGGCAAGACGCGCTCTTGGTCTGAGGCGGGAGAACAACGCTGCCACGGGGCGACGGGGGATCCGAGCAAGGCGGATGAATTGCGATCATTGGGACCGCGAGCTCGGGTGACGCAAAGTCGGTTTGCTGCAGACTGACTCGTTTTGATTCGATCTTGGCAGGTGCAGGTTCCTCCGTTTGCACCGAGGTGGAGACCATCGCTGCTGGCTCGGGAAGCGACGGCGAAGGTGGCATTTCGCTAATCAGAGGCGTCCATGGGGGGGTGGGAAGATCTGCGACCGTCTGACAAGACGTCGAGACCATGTTAGCCGAAACCGTCGACGTGCTGGTGTCCTTGGACGAGTAGTGCCTAGCAGGAGCCTGGCTATCGCCATGGGTCTCTTCAGAGTATCGGCTTGATGGCAGCCTTTCGCTCTCCGTTGATGGTTTGGGAGAGGGCGGAGGAGAGTACTGAATGCCCGAGTCCCGGTATACGTACGACACCGGAGCTTTCCAGGGGCTGTTCGGTTCCGACGCGCCGTCGCCTTTGGTGGGGTGATCATCGGTGCTGCCGTGGAGAGAAAGACCCAGGATCTTTCTCGCTTTGGCTCCCATGCCAATCGTATGAGAGATGTGGGATTGAACTGACACCGGACGCTCTTCCGGAAGCGCCTCAGGGGAAGCAGGCACCAGGTCCTCATCAGGAAGCCCGAACTCCTCATCTTCGTCGAACGCGAGTTCCTGGGCAAGGCTCAGACCGTCGTGTTTGTTGATACCCGGCACGTTGGCAATGCTGGCTACCGAGTATCGAATGTTATGATAGTCCTCCTCGTCGGAGCTCACGCTGGTGACGCTAGTCCGGCGTCGTCCTTGGCTGCTGCCCGAGCGAATGCTTGCCGAGTCACTGTCTTTGCCGGTGAGCCCTTCCTTGGTCGTCGCCGCTTCATCGGTCTCTGGGCCGGAATGGGACGAGCCGGCCGTCTGAGCGGCCGCCACTTCATTCAAGACGACCTTGAGACGGCCTTCCACCACATGAACCTTCCGCTCCATATTTCGGCGTTCGTTCTCCCACGATTGCTTATCGCGCTCCCACAGGTTCACTGTCCTCTCCACTTCATCCTCCCGACTTCTTGCTCGTTTTTGGGTCTGCTCTAGTTTTTTACGAACATCCGCGATGTTTTCTTGCGCCTCATCGCGCTCTCGGGCAAGTTCGGTGAGAGCCGAGGAACTGCCGCCTTCCAACAACTGTAACTGATGCCGGAGCGAGCGGGTTTCCTTAGTGCTCTGCGACAGCCGAGTAGCGAGGTCTTCATTCTCGTTTCGAGAATCGTCCAGACTTCGCTCGAGCACATCGATGGCTTTTGTTTTGCTTTCCACATCCCGTCGGAGAGACAGAATCTCCGACACTAAGGATGCATGCAGTGTCGGAGTGAAGCGACGTGGATCGAATGGTGACAGCGCATCCTCGTCGGCGCCGTCATCATAATCACTGCGCCCGTCGGGCGAGAAGTTCTGGGTGGGGAGAGAAGGAGGCAATGTCAACGGACCGGGAGAGGAATCCCTCCTTACATGAATCGAGGGAATCCTTTGAGGTGTGGCGGACGACATAGGAAAGGCCTGTGCGGGGGGGTTCCGAGGCATGGTATCCGTAGCCATCATGATTTATATAATAGGTTTGACATCGAAGACCAGAAGACCGGCTCCAGTTCAAACAAGTAGCGAAATCGATTTCCCTCCTTAGACGCTCGTTTCCATTGGCCAGTTAGAACCCGTGCATTGGAATGTACGCCGAGTGGTACTTCTAAATGGCCGAGCCCAATGGAGTCCTTGAAGCCAGCCGGTCTCAAGTGGAAGAAAAGAAAACGCAGACCAGCAGCGGTGGCAATCTGTTTAAACAGCCTGCTTCTGTAACTAGTCAGCGCGATGCGGACAGGATCAGGAACGAAAGAGGCAAGAATGA